TATTACGATTTAACGTAAAAGTGACTTTTCTTTTGGAAATGTTTCGGCACATTTCTCATTTATCTGAGCCTTTACAAATGTTCACTCAAGTAAATTCTAAGTCTAAACTTCCATCATTTTCTTGGCAGCTATTGATTAATAGGGAGTGGATTTAATTTGCTTATCAAGTACAAACTGGCAATGAAAACGTCGAGCGGTTTCTTTATCGGAGGTGTGGTTTGGATTTGATCCGCGGGCGTGGCGCTGTTTGGTTTGATATAAAGACACTTTGACAAAATCCTCCTCCACAGCATCTTTTCATCCATATTCTCTCTGAATCCCTGAAAAACAAAGGCAGCCATGAGTCTCTCAGCGAAAGACAAGACCCTGGTGAAAAACCTGTGGTCCAAAGCTGAGGGGAAGGTCGGTGAGATCGGAGCCGAGGCTCTGGGCAGGTATGAGATCCACGTCTAATTAAATCTAGTTTTACAATTGTACCAATGGCACAACTCATTTTTTAATTCTGTGTTTGTGCTCTTTAGGATGTTGGTGTCCTCCCCGCAGACCAAGACCTACTTCTCAGAGTGGGGGACTGATCTGACTCCTCAGAACTCTCAGGTGAAGAAACACGGAGGGGTGATCATGGGAGCCGTGGGCATGGCCGTGAAAAACATCGATAATCTCACCGCGGCGCTGAGCAGCCTCAGTGAGCTGCATGCCTACAAGCTCAGGGTGGATCCCTCCAACTTCAAGGTGAGAGCGTACCACAAAGATGTCTCTGTCAAAATCTGCAAACATTACATTCAAATGATGTGAAATTAGAGCCTACATGTTCTGGTCCTGTCTCCCATTTTGGGCTTTAATGTCTGACCAATCTAACCATGTGTTTCTTGCACAATTGCAGATCCTGGCCCACAACATCATCCTGGTCATGGCCATGTACTTCCCCAACGACTTCACCGCAGAGGTCCATGTCTCCTTCGACAAGTTCCTGAACTGCCTGGCCTGGGCTCTATCTGAGAAGTACCGCTAAAGCTGGAGCCAGGCGGCAGCACCCACTGACCTCACATGTGGCGCATCTGCGTCCCACAGTGTCCAGCAACACTGTCTCTATGTAGTGGGCTTGTTCAATAAAAAGACAAACATAAAAAAAAGTGCAGTGTCCTTTTGATCATTTCCAGTGTTGAGAGTTTTTCCAATTTTTAAAGAATGGATCACAATAGGAAATTCAACCAAACCATGGTATAATAATAATAATAATAATAATAATAATAATAATAATAATAATAATAATAACACCTGAAGGGATCTATTGGCAGATATTTAATGCACAATAATCCTCAGGATGTTTTCACTAGTTTGTTTCATCTAAAGTGTATGAATTGTAGTTTTCTTTACCCTCAGGCCCTTTATATTTAAATACTTAAATAGAGGGGGTCCACCATCTTTTTTACATTAGTCCAGACTGGACAAACTAAACACCTTTGGAGTTTTTATGACAACTGAAGGCTACAGGTTCTTTTTCATGTTTGGAAGGGGAGGGTGAGGTGAAGGGTGTTCAGCTGCAACATGCAATTTCAATATTAGATATAACAAAATTCTACACACTAAGCTTACGATTGTTTTAAACCCAGCTCTATGTCCAAGCGCAGCAATTCGGAAAACAGGAAATTCTGACAGGGCGAATGAAACAAATGTGATTGGCAGATACAAATGGGACAGAAGAAAGTTGACCAATTGGGTGGACTGAGTAGAAATGTACCCACTTCTAGATCCAGGCCAATTTAAAAATGTAGTGATCAATGTAATCTTTTCAGGTTGTGGGGGTCTTTCCTGATTGTTTGTTGCTATAACAACACTAAAACTATTGTCACGAATGTATTGAGGTCATATGATGCAAGGGACTTCAATTTGATGACAAGGACAGATCAGTGTAACACAAATAAACTTTTAAATATAAATACTCTTCCTATTCAATATGTTTATTTTTAAATGATTCAGTTCCATAATGCAGACAACACTAGAATTCTGCTGAAAATATCAAATTGAAATCTAAATATGGGATTAAGGGCCAAAAGAATAGAATTACTCTTAAATAAAACAAACCGCTTTCAAAGAATGGGATCATTTGTGAGACTGGTGTGAGTGGCTGTGTTTGTACACTCAAACGCCCTCTGCTGGTGTCAATTAACAGCGTATTTAATGTCAAATGGCTTTATTATGACACTGCCAATATGAATGGCTTTGAGGATATAAAGTCTTTTCCATTTCTTATATTGAACTCCGCAAATAGCCGAACACCACCACAGAAACCTGTTCTCAGTAACAAGCTAAGAGCTGAGCAGACAGTAAATGTTCAAGAATCCTCACTTCACTTCACATCAAGGAACACAGAGCTCAGTGTGCTGCACTCTGAGAAACTACGCGTGGATCCTGACAACTTCAAGGTAGAGAAGACTGTGGAGCTGTTGTTGTCTCCATGTGATGAGTGTGTTTGAGAAGCCTCCTCACCTCTCATGTTGTGTTGTGTTGCAGCTGCTGGCCGACTGCCTGACCATCGTGCTCGCTGCTCAGATGGGTACAGACTTCAGTGGTGAAGTGCAAGCAGCTTTAAAGAAGTTCCTGGCTGTGGTGGTGTCCTCCCTGGGAAGACAGTACCACTAGAGAGCTGCAGCACAAGAGAAGACAGGAACACTTTCTGAGATGGGAATAAAATAACCCTAAATAACTGCACAGAAGTACTGACCAAAAATTAAAAAACTTCTACTGGTGTTTATCTGAGTTTACAAATATAGTTTACACAACATAACCTGTTGCAACAGGAGACTTATATTCAAACTCAGACACTGATACTCAGACT